TTTTTTTTTTTTTTTTTTTGGTTGACTAAAAAATTTTATTTTAGATATATCTTTATATATTGTAATTGAAGGTTATTTCGACAAAAAAAAAAAAAAAAAACGATATTTTATATTAGCTGGTTGGAACAAACAAAATCCATTACCGTACATCAAAAACATTGCGCGAAATGGAGGATCATCAGAGCGAGAGCGAAATCCGTGAAATTGAAGAAACCAGCTCGAACTCAGAGCTGCAACCTCTTCTTCAGAGCCAGAACCCGAGTTCGAATTCCAGAACAGTGAAGACGAAGGTTCCGGAGGTTGAGATCCATCTTTATCGGCAGGGCAAAGGTCCGATCGATGTGTTTAAATCAAGCCTTGGGGGTTGGGAACAAGACCAGCTCGAGGTCCGAGAGATTCTCGATAAATACGGCTTCAAAAGCGTTTTCGCCTTCAAACCTGACTCCGGTCGTGGCGTCCCGATTCGATTCAACCCTAGAAATGGTAGGTCTATATTGACTTACAGAGATGGAGCCGAAATTTACATCGACGGAGAGCCCAAGGTAAAGATTCACTGCTCTATTCATTTCAAATTGCGAAATTCGATCATCTTTATTATATCTGCTACGTGGATCTCGGTCTGTAACTATGGAACTGGTTGACCGAAGTTAAAGAGTGAAGACAAACACTATGCATAGTCTGTAATTGTTTGAAATTTAGTTTGTAGCCTTAATATCCAAGACTAATTGTTTTTTCTTTTTCTTTTTCTGTGGGGCGTCGGGGTCAATCTTCCGTTTGTTTAGAGATATATAATGCACTCTAGTTTTGTTTGGTTTGAGTTGAGGTTTTAAGAATTGAAGATCTTATGGATGAGAATCACAATACAGAATACAACCTATTTTTCTTGAATGTTGTAATTTGTGATATGTGGCTGTAAGTCTAGTCGATGGCTATACTCAAAGTAGATTTGTAACGAACGGGTAAAAGCCAGTTGAGAATTGGTAATTTAGTCCTGAAGAATGCCAAATGATACAATGTGAGTGGAAGTCCTCCACTCTTGGAGATAGAACTTCTTGGTTCTTGATCAAGGTTGTCTCTAGTAAGCACGGGCTTAGCCTCGATCGTTGGGATGTTCATGAGGTTGCTAATAGCACGAACTCCTTGAAAGGTAGTTTTTCAATGTTTGCCATGTTTTATTGAACTTTAGTTTTCTGTTTGGATGGATAATCAGATTTGAGTTTGGGGTATCATGGTATTGGCACTGGCACTAATTCAATCCTAGACCATTTTATCGTTGACCTACTTATCTGAAGAGTTCTTGTTTGAATAGCCTCATTTTAACTTGGAAATGCTTGAGCTTCGTCGTATGAATCTCCTTGCCTTCTCCTTTTTCCACTAACATCTCTAAGAAGGTGAAGTTCTTTCTTTTCTTGCCAATTATCCTTGGGAAGATCCACAATGCTGATGACTTCGAGAGGTTGTCCACCTTTGTGCCTTGGCTATCACGGTGTGTTATTTGCAATAAGGCAGTGGAGTATGTGAACCATATTCTTTTTAGGCGTATGTTAACGGCTCATAAGACGACATTTTAGTTTTTTTTTTTAAAAAAAAAGAAGAAAACGAAGAAGAAAGATATTTTGGGTATCCTAAGATTCTGGAAAAGATTTGTGTTGAAGTTCACCTTAATGCTTCATTAGATCCACGAGTAAGTTTGAAATGACTTTTTAGTTGAGCTGTTCATGGAGCCAAAAGAAATGTGTCTAATTAAACACATTTCCCTATTCTAAAAGTCAGTGCCAAACAAACTCTTAGTATACTCATCTTTATCCTTCGTGTTACAATGGCTTGTTTTTGGAGCCCTTCCCTGTAATTCTTTCTTGGTTTAGAACTGATCCAGTCCCTTGTATGAATTGTTTATCACTCTATGAGTTGTTTCCTAGTATACAAGTTTAAACTTACTCATATATTTGGCCACTAGTTTTATTTTTTCTGATAATTGTCAGTGTTTGGGCAGCTATGGTTGTTGGTATAGTGATCATTGAGGGCTTTTAGAGGATATGGGTTCAAGTTGTAGTGACAACCTACCTAGAATTTAATAACCTACAAGTGACCCTGTCAACCAAATATATTTAAGGTTAGGTAGTTGTCTTTGACATTAGTTGAAGTGTGTGCTAGTTGTTATAACACTTGCACACACACACAAACGGCGGGTGCTTGGGCTGGCATATGGTTAAAACTGTCTAATATTCTCCGAGTTGATTTCACGTGACATCTACTTTGAAGTGTAACTTTTTCCATTCGTACAGGGCTTAAAATTCCTACATTGTAATTTTTAAGCATGCTTTCAAGGGGGGAGCTAGGATTTACCTCTAATCTTACTGCTAGGACAACCATATGATAAAATATATACCTCGTTGACCAAGAAGTTTAATTGCAAGGTTACAGGTCGTATCAATGGTTCCAGTTTTTAAAGATTTCAATTTTCTCAAATTACCCTGTGACTATCTGTTTTCCACGTTGACTTATATTCTGCTCTTTATCTTTTCTTGATTGGTATGTGTGTGTGTGCGCGTGTGTATTCATTGATAGCGAGACTGTATTTCATGAATGAGATGAAATTACAATTAAGTAAAAGCGCCCTACACCAAGAGTTTAATGTACCCTCATAGTTAAGAGAGTCAAAAGGAGTTCCCAAAGCATTAATGCTCTCCAGTGGACTCTTTTGCTTCATTTGGTTTATTTGTGTTAGAATTGAACACAAATTTTTGTGAGTGTGAGTAGTTGCAGGGAGACGACTCATTTTTACTGAGCTAGAGCTAGTTTAAGTAAAAAATGTGAGATCCCATGTTGGTTGGGGAGGGGAATGAAACAGTCTTTATAAGGGTGTGAAAATCTCTCTCTAGCAGACGTGTTTTAAAACTTCGAGGGAAATCCCAAAAAAGACAATATCTGCTGGCGGTGGGCTTGGGCTGTTACAAAAAAGTCCTATTTCGTGTTCTTTTCCTCTTGATTTTTGGTCTTTGGTTATCGATGTCGTCCTTATTCATAGATGTTTTTCGATACTAGGACAACCATATGATAAAAGCGTATTTAAGGTTGTGTTTGTCAACTGATTCAGTTGATGACGACATGTTGGATGGTAACTGGAAAATGGATGCATATATGTTCTAATGTTGTTCGATTTTGTTAGTTCGTTTTTATTTATTCTTTTGCATCATATTCTATCACATTCTAGCAAATAGCTAATTCCACATTTTCTCTCTTTACTACAGGATTCCCTGATCAAACCCGTAACCCGGATAGTTTTTGTCGTGGCAATTATCACCATTTTGATAACGCTTCTCTCGACCTCAAGAAACTCACAGGGATGGATGAAGAAACTAAACATCACTGGGAACTTCCCTCCTTGGATTCTTGCTTGCGTCGTTATCGTCTTCACACGCTCAAGGAAGAGAACCAGGGACTTGCTAAAGAAGTACGGTTGGTGAATCTCATTCTCCAGGCCTTCCTATGTTGATTATGGAAGGTAAAATTAATGTCTTAAGTTGATTATTGTTTCTTGATTTGAAACTTTGGAAATAGAAGATAATGATACAATACAAATGGAACGTTCTTGGTCCATTGCTATCATAAATTCCCTGCCTGGATCTTGATCTTTTGACGTAATGAGTTATTATATAGTTTGGATTTATGTGTATAACTTGTTTGTCATAACTTCATTCACAATCTTAAATGTTCTCTGGTTCATTTAAACTCGAGTTACATAATTAACCATGGCGAAGTTGAGTTTGAAAAAACGAGCATAAATAAGTTAAATTACCATCCCGCCCTTGCAATGTTAGAAGATTGAGAAGAATTACAAATTTAGTTCATAAGATTCATATTGAAAATATTAGATATCATGTTTATTGTATACAAAATTCAAATTTATAATTAACGTCTTTATTAGCATTTAACTTAACATTGGAAGCATGGAAAATTATTAATTTTATTTATTTAGAATTAATTAAATCATAAATTTTAGTAGACAATTAAAATTGTACTAAAATAATTAAATTAAATAATTAAATTAAGTAACTCTACTCTATTAAACCATAATAATTCACTCAATAACTAAATTTTATTAAAAAAAAAAATTACTGAATGACCAAAAAAATAAAATACATCTAAGTTCAGCTCAAACTGTAGTCCAACAATTTAAACCATAGTAATTAAACTCAATAACTAAACACTTATTGTTATATTTTATTTTTTTCTTAATTAATATAGAAAAATATTGGAATTTGTGAGAGGGAAAATAAAATAAAATGAAGCTTTTTATTCAAATTTGGAAATGGGTTACTAAAATTAAAGCAATTAAAAAGTCATTTAAAAAAAAAAACTTAAATAATTTATGTGTCAAATATAAATTTTAGTTATATAAAAATTTAGATATTTTTCTAATTTAGATAATTTTATAAATGTCCATGTTTAGAATAAAATAAATAAGAAAAAGAATAATCATTTAATATTGGAATATTTTAAATATTAGAATATTCACTTGTCATACTTGACATTCAAGTAACAAATGGACACGTGTCATTAAGTTAAGCTCGAAGCTATACAATACGAAAAAGTTTGAAAAGTCCACTTCTTTCCGGCAGTATAAATGTATAAGTTTCGCTCCAATTTGCTTCTCTCACTCTCTCTTTCCCGCTCTCCCTCTCCTTGGAGGAATTGACGAAGGAAAAGATTAGGAAAGGAAAATAAAAACCAGAAAGAAAAATCTACAAATTTCCATTTTTAGAGAGTTTAGAAAACCCTAGTGATCCTGTGCTCTTCTTCGGCTGTTCGCTCATCGGTAGACTGCCTCCGATTTCTGTTCTCCTATCTATCCAATTTATTTTGTTTCCGCCGGTATTTTTTCGGTCTCGAATCGACGATGAAAACTCCAGTTACGGCACCGGCGACTGTTGCTACAGTTCAAACGGCGGCGATTCCTCCGACTGACTCTGTCGCCACTGGAGGCGGATTCTTGAATTCTTCATTGTATGTTGGCGATCTGGACCCGACTGTGAACGAGGGACAGCTTTTGGAACTGTTTAGCCAAGTGGCTCAGGTTGTCTCCATTAGGGTTTGCAGGGATCAGACACGCAGGCGATCGCTTGGATACGCTTATGTTAATTTCAGCAATCATCAGGAAGGTTCGTTATTTCGTTCTTTATGTTTATAAGCGTCTTTAATTTTTGTTCTGTAATTTCTGGATGATTTTGATATGCTTGAGTTTTGATTTTGATATTGTTGCGTTTTGTTCTGATTTTCTACTTAGGCTATTGCATTTTAAAAATCGAAATTCGATGACTGAAAATTACGTTATTATGAATCGATTTTTTAGTACATTTAAAGAATTATTCTGGATATGTTTTGGGCTTCTGTTGTTATTGGATCAATTTTTATTAAGTTATATATTGCTTCATACTGATACACACATTCAAGTTGGATATATATATTTTTTAAAGCATCTTTTGGTTCCAAAATTTAGGCATTGAGTCTCTTATTGTATCCTTTCATAAATTTTCTCAGCTTCCAGCGCCTTGGAACATTTGAATTTCACCCTCATTAATGGGAAGCCTATCAGGATTATGATGTCGAATCGAAATCCTAGCATCCGAAAAAGTGGCCAAGCAAATGTTTTCATCAAAAATCTGGACGCATCAATTGATAACAAGGCATTGTATGATACATTTGCTACCTTCGGTACTATTCTTTCGTGTAAAGTTGCCATTGATAGCAATGGTCAATCAAAAGGGTATGGATTTGTGCAATTTGAAAATGAGGAAGCTGCAAACATTGCTATAGTTAGATTGAATGGCATGCTGCTCAATGATAAGCAAGTTTTTGTTGGACATTTTATTCGACGTCAGGAAAGGATTCAGGCAAATGGATCGACAGTTACTAATGTTTATGTGAAGAATTTACTGGAAACTACCACAGCTGATGACCTAAAAAATCTTTTTGCTACACATGGTGCCATTACTAGTGCAGCTGTCATGACAGATTCGAACAGGAAGTCCAAATGTTTTGGCTTTGTGAATTTCCAGAGCCCAGACTCTGCTGCTGCTGCAGTTGAAACGTTGAATGGTACCGTCCTTGGTGATGACAAGGTTCTGTATGTAGCCAGGGCTCAGAAGAAAGCAGAAAGGGAGGCCGAGTTGAAAGCAAAATTTGTACAGGAACGAAAGAGTAGATTTGAAAAATTACAAGGTGCTAATTTGTATATAAAAAACCTTGATGACCAAATTGATGATGAGAAGCTCAAAGAGTTATTCTCTGAGTATGGAACAATCACATCATGCAAGGTTCGTTTTTCTTTTGGCAACCTCCACCGTCGAAGCCTACGTGTTGACTTTCGCATAGATAGCTGTATGATGATATTTTGTTGATTTCTATGCTTGAATGAATTATTGCCAGGTTATGCTTGACCAAAATGGACTGAGCAAGGGATCTGGTTTTGTAGCATTTTCTTCACCAGATGAAGCAACGAGAGCCGTAAATTTGTTTATTTTTTTCATTTCGATCTACTTCTGGGTGTTCTATATCCGAATAGGATATGAAACTGGAAACTAACTTTTCTGTTTCTTTTGTATTCTTTAGTTGAATGAATTGAATGGAAAAATGAAGGGAAGGAAACCTCTGTATGTGGCTGTTGCCCAGCACAAAGAAGAGAGAAAGGCTCGGCTCCAGGTGTGATTTTCATTCTCGAGGAATAGTCTATCATTCAAGTTTTTTTTTCCTATGATGATTTCAGTTCTGAATTTAATAACGTGGCGTTTTTATATCTATATACAATTATGTGAATTTTGATAGTCCCATGTGGTGGATCGAAATACTTATTTATTAGTATTTTGCAAGCGAGTTGTGGCTTTATCATGCATTTTCTAAAATGTGTCAATCCTATGAATTCTGGTAATAGCATATATTCTTGTGTGTTCAGGCTCAATTTGCTCAAGCCAGAGCAGCTGGCGCAATATCGTCTTTGCCTTCAGGAATTCCAGGGTTTCATCCAGGTGCACCACGACTTGCACCTCAGCAGCTGTATTATGGTCAGGGAAATCCCGGGCTGGTGCCCTCACAGCCTGCTGGATACGGCTTCCAGCCTCAACTCATGACCGGAATGCGACCTGGTATGGGTCCAAACTTCATCATGCCTTACCAGTTTCAGAGGCAAGGACAGCCCGGGCCACGTCCTGGGATGAGGCGAGGTGGAAATTCGCAACCATTTAATAAGCAGCAGCAGGTAACGTTGTTAAGATCATCTGTCTACTCGCTATTTTTTTAGTGTCAGTTTCATTAGTAGATACCATTTCAATGTTTGTGCTGCATTTGTCTGCGATTTTGCATTACCTTGAGTTATTCAGAGATCTATTAAAATCTTTCCTACGAGTTTTTTTGAGGGGGTCAAACCGTGAAGCCTATGTAGAAATTTATGTGCTTCGTTAACGAGTTTCTTTCCTTTTTCTTTCTTTTCTTCTGATGTTTGTGTGGACTTGTTTCTTGAATCCAGTCACTGCTCCGTGGCACTGGACAAGGTTTTAGTTACATGAACAATGTACGGAATGGATTAAAGCCACCCGTCCTGCCCCCTGTTCTGCCTCAAGCTCTTGTTGGTCCAGTGATGCCTCTGACTTTTGATACTTCTGGAGTGTCTAGCTCCCCCATTGACATCCAACGATCAAGGGTTGTGCCTTCATCAACACTCGCTTCTGCATTAGCCTCTGCTTCACCCGAAAACCAACGTATGGTATGTCACCATTTTTCTTTCCTTCATTAGAGAAGAATGAAATCATATCTGTAAGACGAGACATGTCAGAAACTGTACTTTCTACATTATATTGTTACAGATGCTCGGCGAGCAGTTGTATCCACTTGTGGAATGTCTCGAGCCAGGTCATGCAGCAAAGGTTACTGGAATGTTGCTGGAAATGGACCAACCAGAGGTCCTTCATCTCATCGAGTCACCAGATGACTTGAATAGTAAGGTGGCTGAGGCAATGGAAGTCCTCCACAAAGCTTCCTTCGAACCCGAGCTATCTGATCAGCTCGGTGCATTGGCCCTGGCCAAATGAACAAAGACCGAAAAAGAGAGCACCGGTTCCCGGGTCATCAATTTTCCTTGTGTGGTTTGGGGTTTATCCTTTCCTTTTCTTTTAATCTTCCTTCCATAACTCTCTAGGTTATTGTCTATTTTTTGCAGGGTCTTGACGGGCAGCTTTATTTTATTTAATTCTAGTTTTGGATGCTTTAGGATTTTGTTTGATATTGTTCAACCTTTGATGACAGATTCCTTCCTTTTGGATTTTTTAAACTAGGGTTTCATATGTTTGCTTTTGCTATTATATTTTGAGTCTATTTCATATTATTATTATTGCTCGAGATTCATGGCTGTCTTGATGATCATCGGTCATCGATCATCGATCATCGGGTGCGATATTAATTCTAAATCCAAGCATGATATCGAGGAGTCCGAAATTGAAAGCCAAGGGAAAATGTTTCAGTTGCAGGATATTTGAAAGAACTTGCCCCTCTGATTCAGGTACTATGGGAACATATATTTATGATCCTTTAGCAATGAATATTTTTGTGGTGAGTGGTCGTTTGCCAAGGTCCAATAGGTAATCGACAATTGGCTTTTCGAAGCTTTGTCGGGTTGGAGGATGCCCAAAAGGGCTAGTATGTTTTGTCGTGTGCTAGGGCATTGATGAGACACAATATGGTTAGAAATGAATCAGTACTGTTTTTATAACAGTTCAAGTTCATCGCTAGTTGATATTGTCATCTTTAGATTTTCTCTTTCTAATTTTTCCTCAAGGTTTTTAAAACGTAACTGCTAGAGAGAGATTTTCACTCTTGTAAAGAATATTTCGTTCTCCTCCCCACCCAATGTAGGATCTCATAATGCACCTTCCTTTAGGCTTCCTCATTGGCACTCATTCTTCTCTCCATGGATTCTTTATCTAGAAATCTAGAGATCACTGCTTCTCTCTGGGGTATAGTCGAAGGAAATTCTTATGTAATTATGACATTTTAAATCATTTTAAACGATCCCGAACTTTTTCCTTTCGAGCTTGAAGTCATTGTCATTTGAAACGATTGTCTTGAACATTTCCATACCATGCCCTCTGTTCTGTTGCCATATTTTCTTCATTTCTGGCTCCGCAGTCGTCTTCTTCGGTTAAGTATTCACTCTACTTGGAAGAAGGCCCTCTTACCTTCACAAGTTCTTGTTCTTGCATTTTTTGTCGATCTTTCGAGATGCCTTTACTCTCCACTCTGATGATTGAATCTTCTTCGATGGCGACTCCCAGATTCGAACGTCATCTACAAATTTATGACTGTTTTTGCTCAACTTTTTGTGCTGGAAAGTTGCAGTATTAGAATAATACTCAATAGTTTTACCATTAGAGCTCGAATGCTGAAACGCCTGTTCTCCATTTTGAGGCGTGAATGGCTGATGGCTATTTACAAAATCAGTGACCTATTTCTCGTTCGTTGCCTCCACTTTGGCTGTGATCTTCTTCCAAATCAAGGTACTCACTCCGATCACTGCGTCCTTTTCTCCTCGCACTGCCGGAAATCTGATCTTCATCAACAATTCTTCCATTCAGTATCTCATCGACTTTCGTCTGTTCATCCGCATCTTGCTAATACATGTTGAAGCTCTGTTCGAATTTACAGATCTCTTTTGCCATATGTGCGTGAGCAAAACACCTTCTGCATCGATTGTTCCTCGTTGCACGCTGAATAGATCCACTCATTCCCGCTCCTCCGCTGCTTCTTCACCTAAATCGAAACCACCGCCATTGCAGAAATTACAGAGAGAAACACAGAAGGAAATGAGAAACAGAGAGAGACGAAACGAGATCAGTGACGATGAAGATCCACAGGTAAGAGAACTGGTAACATCATACGACGATGAAGATAGATCGTCGACATGCCCTGCTTTACAGATTTTGATTCGATCTTTCTGTGTTTGTTTGTGTTTCAATTTGAAGGGATCCACAGGAAATTTTGGCGCCAAATTCCTTCAGAAATTTGGGCCATCCGTCTCCTTCGTGGCCAATTTTAGCAGATGGGCTTCTCGTTTCGGGCTCATATTCAAACTCATGGGCCATTCATTTGGGGTTTTCATCAATGCTCCCGAGGGCAATCATGGTAACTTCAAATTATTAAAAAATTGGTAAAAATATCTCGCTATTTTATTTAATAAAAAAATCAAGCCTATAATAAGGTATAAATTGTCAAATTTACCAAAGTATAAAGTTCAATTTATATGTAATATATAATATCAATATTATATACTTATTATTACTTTATATTTAAAATGACTATTTTAGTAGAAGCCTATTTATCATTGTATCACACAAGACGGTGCTATTCGATTTCAAGTGCATTTCTTCATAGTTAAATTTAATAATACACTCTAGTGATGTTGTCCACCAAATAAAATGTTTGTTCGGTGGTTGAAATCCTTCAAGTCGGTAAAAACCCATTTGCCTAGTTTCTTACATTTACTTAATTGTTCAAGTCGGTAAAAACTCATTTACCCATCTTCTTATCTCTACTCAATCGTTCAAGTCAGCAATGACTCACTTGCCTAGTTTCTTATATTTCTTAATCGTTAATATGAGTAAGAACTCATTTGCCTAATTTCTTATATCTACTTAATCATTCAGTTGGTGAGGTCTCACTGCCTAGTTTCTTATGTTCACTTAATCGTCCATGTCGGTGAGAACTCATTTGCCTAGTTTTTTGTATTTACTTAATTGTTCAAGTCGGTGATGACTCACCTATCTAGATTTTTATATCTACTTAATAGTTCCATCTAGTTTCTTATTATATTACTTAATTTAAAAGGTGACCGTTAAAAAAATTGACAGACATGGTAAGTTCTAAGGATAAATAGTATGTAATAATAAGGTAAGAAGATGGAATTTTGATAGAAATCAAATTACTATTTTGTGAAAAAAAAAAAAACTTTTAAATTAAATTAAGATTTACAGAGAGGACTCATTTTTAGAACAGACCAACTTTGCGCCGATCCCTATCGTCGTTCATGGCACTCCATTCTCACATTGAGAGAGTGCTCTGGAACCAGGACCAGATTTTGGCTCGAGTCGCCGACCTCGCCTCCCAAATCTCTGCCGACTTCTCTGAAACCTCTTCGCCGCCGGTCATCGTCGGCGTCGCCACTGGAGCCTTCATCTTCCTGGCTGACTTGGTCCGTCGCATCAATCTTCCAATTACTCTCGACTTTGTTCGGGTCGAATCTTACGGTGTTGGTACTGAGTCTAACGGTGCTCCTGGAATTTCGTCGGACTTGAAAGTGGATGTCAAGAACAAGCACGTAATTCTGGTATTTGCCTTCAATCTTTCTCGCTCCGTCTATTTTTTCGCCTAATACGCCATTGAATCTTTGTGTTTGGATTTTCCTTTTTCTCTTCCTGCGCCCTAAGTGACTGTGCTGCACTTATTCTCCTTGATTAAGTCAGCAACTCAAATTCGGATTCCCGGTGGCACAAGGGGCCTTTCTTTGTCATTCTTGGTATTTTTTGTTTGATTTTTTGCCTAACTACTCCGGCTTACGTGGTGGCCTTGGACTTCCTTTTTCGGTGTTTTTCTTCGCTTCATGCCTCTATACTGAATCGCTGATGCTTGGTGGAGTTTCTGATAAAGGTAGATTCTGTTCAAATGTGGGTGTTCTTTTTTAGGAAGTTTTGCATGCCAGTATTTTACTACTCGGGTGGGAAAGAAAATAGGGTTATTGAAATTAGATTCTGAATTCATCAATTTTGGCATAGATTTGAAAGGAGTACTTTTCAATCCATGAAATAAAGCAAAGAGTACGGTCCGATTAAATATTAATCGAGGTTAAGATCATACTCCAGATCAATGTTGGTTTGGAACAATTATATGAACCTTACTGATATGAACACTTTTTAAAAAAAAAAATCATAAAGACTACATAAAATTTAATCAGTAAAAAGATAAATTGCCACTCTCTCCATCTAAAAATTAATCTCATCAGGATCGAGTATATATTTGAAGAGAGAAATTATGACTTTGTCCCTGTTTTCCTCTTTGAAGGAAGGAGCTCTGAATCTTAGATTTTTATTTTCTTTTCGGTTCCTAGCATTTGGAGGTCTATTTGTACTGTTCTTGACTTCGAGTGGAATTCTAGGCAACCCCTAGTGTATCCTTTGAGCTGTTAACAAAACCATTTGATTCCTCTAAAAAAATATGAAGTTATAAACCGATTTTCTCAAGAACTTGTCAGAACAGGAGGATTGCCCATTTGGAATAAACAGAAAAAATATGAATGCTCATGCCTTTAGCTAATCTGCCCCGCTATTCTACTCGGTTAAATCTCCTTGAGAGGTGGGCCTCTCTTTCATGGTCTTTATGTTTTTCAAGAACACGTGTTTCCTCTTTTGTGTCAGCTATAGGGTGATTGTCTTTCTGTATTTGATATGGGTTACTGTTGACACAAATACTAGTTTACTGATACTTGTCCATTGAGATTGATTCATTTCTCCCATAATTCTTGTAAAGCATATTTAGCATGTTCTTGACTTTTATAATGAATCTCCTTTTAGGTTGAGGATATTGTAGATTCTGGAAATACTTTATCATGTCTCCTTGCTCATATGGAGGCAAAAGGAGCTTCAGCTGTATCAGTATGCACTTTTCTTGATAAACCAACTAGACGAAAGGTTCATTTTCAGCTAGTCGGTGAAGGAAAGTTCTACCATGGGTTTGAAGTAAGATGAAACGGATCTATTTGATAATTATTTTGTTTTTAACTTTTCTTTAAAAAAAAAAACATTTGAATTCCTAATCGAATTAAAAAAACAAGAAGATTTCTCTGTTTTTCTCTTTTTTTTGTTTAAAAAACTGGCTTCAATTTCCAAAAACCGAAGAAACTCATAGGTAAAAGTAGTATTTTAAGCTTAATTTTCGAAAACCAAAAGCCTAATAGTTATGAAACGAAGCTGAAACTACAAACACTATCTATCCTTTTTCTTCGTATCGAAGACCTCGCAACTATTTTCCAATCAGTAGGTAAATGAAAGCACCACAATCACCAATCACACATTCTTGGTTTGCCATTACTTGGTTCAGTTAAACTAATTTCTTAGATGGTTTTGTTTTAAGCAGTGTCCAGATTACTTTGTCGTGGGCTATGGAATGGACTTTGCAGAACTGTACAGAAATTTGCCATATATTGGCGTTTTGAAGCCTGAATGTTACCAATGAATGATTAAATCCAACCTCTCTGTAAGGGAAGCATTCTAATTTACTGCTTAATTGCTGTCTTTTTAGTGTTGAAATTGCAATGTTTTGAGTATCTACCCATCAACCCTCCCCACATGCATCGCTATGACTTGGAAAAGTAAGACATAGCAGCGAATGATACTGAATTTTGAGCCAGTTCTTGAATCTCTTCTTTTATTCTTTTGCGAAGTTTATCAGAAGCTTGGTCTAAAATTCCTGAAAGATTAGTTTTTTATGATTACATCGGGAATAATCTCGCAAAAGATAGATTATTTCGAGTAGGTTTCATGGACATTGGGGATGGAATAGCTGTTCGGTGGTTAGGACAGCCTGTTTTTAGAGATAATGCAAACTTTTTGAAACATTTTTGGATAAGAAATCTTTCTCTGAACGGCTGCCTTATAAAAAATTTTCATCCTAGCATTGGAAATGATGATAATATCAATGAATGTTCAAATGATTATTAGTATAATAGTTTTTTTCAGTTTAAATCTCATTTGATCCCAATTTTTTTTTTTTAGATAATTCTATTTTTATTTTGCATTTAAAATATTGGGTTTGAACTATATTTATTTTAGTTTCAAGTATGTGTATTGATTATTTAGTTTTTTTTTTTTTTTTTTAATTATGAATACTACTTGCACTTATGAGTTTGTTTGCTTGGTTATACTAAAATTATTTTTAAAATTAAGTTTTTTTTTGAAGATCATAATAAATAAATCAAGAAGAAATCAACATAAAATTTAAAAATAAAAAATATATTATGAATATCATTGTTAAAAGAAATATATTATGAATATCAGATCATTTATTCCCCCCAAATATAAAATTCTTATTAATTTCGCCTAATAAATGTAATTTTACCTAATATAAAATGTAAGAAAAATACTATTATTGATTTTTTAAGAAAATAAATGTAATTTTACCTAATATAAAATTCTTATTAATTTCGCACCAAAATCAATTTTAATAAATTGACTAAAAATGAACGATAAATATCGTTAACTTCGAAATTTTAAAAACGTAACCTAACAATTGAACCTGAGGCAGGTTGAACGGCCTTACAGCACCGCCATGGGAAGTAGAAGGAAAGCTCTTCTCGAGCTCTCCCACTATTTGAACAGCCTCTCATGTCCAACGAAACGTTCCTCTTTCCACAATCCGGTAATCTCCTTGAACGCTTTCTTAGCTTCTCGATATTTTTCCTCTTCCTTCTCCAGAACCTCCGAAACGGAAAATGATCGACCGCCACGAACGGACAGAGAAGCGATGCTTCTTGAAAAGTTCAGGAACAGGAAACTCAAAGGCTCGTCGAATATCTCGAGAGAATCATTGAGTTCTAACTCTGCTGTGAAAGGGAGTGGGAACGGAGGTGAGAAGGTGATGACAGGTTTCAAGGAGTTGGGGCTTTATAATGAAGTGGCGGAGGCTGCGGAAGGGATGGGATTCTTTGTTCCTTCTGAGTTGCTTTGTGTAGGGATTCCAGCTCTTTTGGAAGGGAAGAATGTGGTATTGGGATCTCTTTATGGACCAGAAAGGGCTTTAACTTACTTGTTGCCTCTCATTCAGGTTCTTCTTCTTTTATCAATTTGAATCTAATTATCCTTTGGCACTTAATGAATTTATGATGGCGTTGAGTTCATAATATCATTCAAAAGTGTATTTGATGGAGATGTATGTTACTATTTGACAATTTCTTGATTAAAGTTTATCTTTGGGTTGATTTTTAGAAATTCCAATGTCGAAATTTGTCTAATGAAGTCTCAGAAGCAGCAGATTAGAAGTATAGGCTATTCTAATTTTAAATATGTTTTGGAACATGTGCATTTGAATTTTGTGTGCTTGAATATTAATTTGACTAATGAGGCTTCATATATGGAATATTAATATGATATAAGGAAGAAATTATATTGGAAATCCTGAACCTTTGTTCAGTTCAACGACATATAGATGGAAATTTGAACTTTCAACCGTTTCGCTTTTAATCAATGATATAATGTAATGAGATCCCATATCGGTTGGAGAGGAGAACGAAACATTTTTTATAAAAATGTGTAAACCTCTCCCTATCAGACGTATTTTAAAAACCTTGAGAGGAAACTCCAAAGAGAACAATATTTGTTAGCGATGGGCTTGGATTGTTACAAATGGTATCAGAGCCAGACATTGGGTAATGTGCCAGCGAGGAGGCTAAGCCCCTAATGGGGTGGACACGATGCGATGTGCCAGCAATGATGCTGGACCTCGAAGGGGGTGTATTGGTAGGTCCCCATATTGATTGGAGAAGAGAACGAGTGCCAGCGTGGACGCTATACCTAGAAGGTGGGTGGATTGTGAGACCCCACATAGATTGGGGAGGAGAACAAAACATTCTTTATAAGGGTGTGGAAACCTCTCCCTAGCAGACACGTTTTAAAAACCTTGAGGAGAAGCCCGAAAGGGAAAGTCCAAAAAAGACAATTTCTTCTAGCTGTGGGCTTGGGCTATTACATATAATATCTTAGCTAGTTAGACTATAAAATTAAGATCTATTGCAATTGCCTGTTAAATTTACACTAAACCCAAAAGCTTTAAGTTTAAGCTATGATAAATGTAGTCTTTTAATATGCTCGTAATTCTCATTCCCAGTTCTTGAATTGTGGAATTGGCTATCTTGCTTGGTCTATTCTTCTTCATTTTAAGAGTTTTTCACTCTCCTCACCGTGCCTTTTATTTGATCTGCATTTGGAATGTTTTAATATTCCAAATTCCATCTAGATTTGAATAAATGCTTGTTCACTTTCATGATCTTTTCCCTCATTGTTATGTCTACAATTGGCTCTTATTAGAATCTAAAAAGAGATGCAAAATCAAATGGTGTAAGGTCCAAGCATCCCCGAGCCTTCGTTATGTGCTCAACCACGGAGCTATCTGACGAGGTATCCAGACCTTCATGAATAAGATGTTAAGTCCAACTACAGTTTGGTTGACATAAGAATATCACCCTGCAGGTGTTTCAGATGGCGAAGTTCATCAGCAATTACAAGCAGTTGAAAACTGCAAAGGACAATGGTTTTGGAAAATTAGAACTTCAGAATGGTGCATCAGATGTCTCGATCGGCCTGTTAATCGGCACCCCTAATGAGGTCTCTGAACTCATTGAAGACGGGAGCATGGTTTCGGATGAAATCAAGTACTTGGTATGCAGTCAACTATTCATACTACATCTCTAAAAATAAATTTTATCTGAAGTTTTCGTGGACAGTAATTGAAAAAAATAAACTGTTCCTTGCTCTGTTTAAGCCGCAGATATCACATCTTCTAGGATTGACCCTTCTTATTTTTGATAATCTGCTATAATTTTCAGTTATTTCTGCTTAAAATAGGCGCTAGGTTGCTAATTTAGATACGAAACTATATCGATATCTGGGTTCATATTCTCAGGAAACCATCAAGATTGTGAATTTTTTATATTGTTCTTATGAAACAGGTATTGGATGAGTTGGACACAATGTTCGACCTAGGCTTTGGCCCCAACATTAAAAAGATTTTAACTTCAGTAAAACAATCTACATCAAGACACTGCAATCAAAAGTGTCAATCTGTTGTGGTCACCTCGACGTTGATTAAGGTTATTTGTTCTACTTTGCCTCATTACTAGATATAGAACTTTTGTGCATTGATCACACGGGTTGGTTCATGAAACTTTTTCTCCGAGTTAATAATTTGTCGTATAAATTATAGATGTTGCACAAACAACATTCGTCCCTTGTGGAGTCTCTTAAGCGAAGCGATGGAGGAGAGATTGCTGCTATGCTTCTTGAAATTGAGGAAGAAGAGGCGTTCCATCTTATGGAATCTCCAGATACTCTGAAATGTAAACTTGCGGATGCGGTCGAGTCACTTCGTGCGTCCACAAATAGAACTTAAAACTTGATATCGACTTGTTTTACGTGATTGCACGTTAACTTTGAAAGACTGAATACGAATGGGCTGTTGTTTTTGTGTTTTTGGTGATAAAATTATCATTTCATTGCAAGATTGATTACATTCCAGGGGTTTGAAAGATACAAGGCTGCATACAATGGCGAGCTCTTAGGGAGAGGACAGAAAAACAAATGAAAGGTAGATTCTGAGATGATATTTTGTCTGTGATTGTCAATGTTTCTCTTCACTTCCAGGTGAGTAGAGGAAACTGAGTTCTAGCAGGGGTTACGACGTTTCCATTGGAGTCGTATAATATGACGCCCGAGAAGTCCGGTAGTTGACACTTCCCACCCATGAGTATGTTCTTCTCCCATACAGTAGCTCGTTGCTCTCTGCTGAAGAACATCTCGTCGTTGTCATTCTCCGGCTCGGTGGCATTCACAACACAGGTATTCACTCGTTGCGTAGTCACTACTGTCGCTTCTTGGTTAAGCTCTATTACAGGATCCTCAAACTCATAGCCATAATCCAAGCAAGCATTCCAGCGACGACGCCATTTCCGAGCATGGGAAGCACACATAAACAATGCAAAAGCACACAAGAGAAGGCTCGCACCAGCCATGCCAACCTGAGCTGTGGCTTGTGAAGAATGCATCATCATTTGTAGTTGCCTTGCCATTTTGGGGAAATCTGAAAGCTTGTTTGCTCTGAAGAAACTTTGAAGGCAACAGGTATTTATACAACGTTGGGTAAGTGGGGCTGTTGGTTTTGGAGGTTTTGTTGACCTGATTTGTGGTTTGGTGATCATTTTCCACTTATCTCTGCTTCTGATTAACTTTGCATTAATTTATTAATCCAACAACTCTTGACAGAGTTATAATCTTGTTCATGATTTTGGATGCATATCCAATAATTAAATTTTGTTTTTATTATATACTTGTGTTATTGTATTATATAATACATTTACTATTTTAAATTTAATAACTCGGTATAGTTAGATTAGTGACCAAACTGTCCATTTGACATTGTGTTTGTCAAAGGTATCTAAACTTGTCCTTGAGAAATAGTTGTTCATATTGACGAGAAGGGATGTACAGATTCCCAAGAAGAGAGGAGCTAAGGTAGTCTCGAGACTGTCCCTCTATTCTTTGTCTCACTAATTTAGGTTAATTTTTTAAAAGAATTTATAACGAGGCTAGAAATTGAATTTTTAATAATTTTTTTCTTGATGCAAGATATATTATTTTTTTAGAAAATATAATCAAAATGAGTTCAATATTATTATACTTTCACTTCTTTTTCTTATGGGTTCAATATCAATTACACTTGCATTGAATTCAATCTAACTATTATATCTCGTTTAATAAGGTATTAATTTTTTTTCTAAGGTTAATTTTTAAAATATAAAATAAATAAAAGATTGATTCAACTAAAAAAAATAAAGTCTGATTATAAAATTTAAAAAATATATATTTTTTAAATAAAGGGTTATTTCATCCAAAATTAAGTTTAAAATATTTTTTATTTTAAGGATCTTAATTAAATTTTTGAAATATAAATTTGTTTTTATTTATTTAGACTCTCAAAATTGTTTTGGAATTCTATAATCCGTACCAAACAAGTCCTCAGTGACGTGTAAAACCCTTATTTCACTGTCGCTGAACTGATGCTTTCACCCTTTATGCTTCATGTTCTCACTGGACCCTGATTTCCTTGGCCCCCTTGTTCGTAATATCCAGAAATTGCGAAAAAATGAGCCCTCGATTACGCCTTTCACTCTGCAGATTGCTTGCCGGAAAATCTCAGGCTTCTACTTCTTCATCTTCGTGTAGCGTTCGTCGAATTCTTGATTCTGCTCTGTTGCCAAATTCTGAGTTTCCTTACAAATTGCGACCAGATGATCTCCATTTTTCGTATTTAATGAGGTCGAATCGTCAGTTTGTAACTCTTCAGTGTTTGAGGAGGTACAGTGGTGGTTCGGGCAACTCGGAGCCGGAGTTTGATCAGATTAGAGAGGTGGACAGGATCAATCTCAAGTTTGCCGAAGCGAGAGAAGAGATAGAGTCGGCTATGGAATCTAAAGAGACCGTTTATTTTGATGAAGAGGCCGAGTGTGCTCGGGATGCTGTGAAGGAAGTTTTAGAAATGTACGAGGGGCTTCTTGCGAAATTGTGCGAGAACGAGAGGAAGGCGTTGCAGAGGTCCATGGGGCTTAAGATTGAGCAGTTGAAGGCTGAGCTTCAACAGCTTGATGAGTAATTGAGGTTCATGTATTTCATTTTGTTCTTCCCAATTTTAAACATATCCAATTTCCCATTCATTTTCTTGCCTGATTGCTGCTTGTGACATTGTAAGCAAGTTTGGCGTTAATAACTCAGCTCTAGGGTTAGGAATGGCGTGTGGGAACTTGTTTAATTGTTTCTTCCTCGAGAAATGACACTACTGCTACAAAAATGATTTGACGTTTATTCTGAATGGCTTGATGCCGCTAAATCTTGATTATCGTTTCGTTATTGAGGATTGAACTACCAATGAAAGCATTATAGCTATACTATAGACATTTCATTTCGCACTTCATGGTGCATTTGATTCTGCATTTTATGGGAATTTTGTTTGATTGGCGATCAAATGTCTTGCTTTTTGGAGTTTAAGATGCAGAAATGCTGAGTATATATGTGTGTGTGTGTGTGTGTGTGCTATTCAACAGAATTGATACAGCTTAAGGGCAGGGAGAAGAGAGAACCCCCTTCCCAGAGCTACTTACAAAAAGCTTTTCCAATTGTTGAGTAACATCAAAAGGACAACTAATTACACAAGAATTTACCCACGCTATGACACCGCCAAGATGCATTTAGCTGCAAAGAGGCATACTTATTTTCAAAGAGTCTACGGCTTCTTTCAAGCCAACTTCCCCCCCAAAAAAAGCTCTGGATACGAACCCCGCAAGACCTTAGCTTTCTTATTAAGGTTCTAACCGCAATTCGTCAGCTTTTTTGGGAAGGCAAATTGTGAGATCCCATCTCGTTCGGGGAGGAGAACGAAGCATTCTTTATAAGGCTGTGGAAACCTCTCCCTAGTAGACGCGACCTTGAGAAGAAGCCCAAAAGGGAAAGCCCAAAGAGAGGACAATACCTGCTAGCAGGAGGAAAGAAAGACGTGGTCTGAAGATTCCTCTTCATTTTTGTAATGGCAGCACATTGAAGGGAGAAGGGCCTAGTCTTTGCATTGCCTTCATCATCAGTAGTGAGACTCCTGTGGGCTAGGGATCATAAGAGTGTCATTAGTGTTTAAGGCTAAGGTTTAGTCATAAATGAAGTAGAACTAGTCTGTTTGATATTGATCTTCCTCTGCTGCAATTTTTATTACCAGTGACAAGATTCCTGTGCAAACTAAATTAAGTTCACTTACGAGGGATATTTATATATTTAACTTTATGATCCAAGCTAGGGTAAAGACAGGAATAAGATTCAATTTACTGCTATCATATTAATAGTCACCTTATATTAGTTCTAGAAGGTGGCATGGTTCCTAACTGTATATCTTGGTCTTGCAAGATTTCTTTAGCTTTGTTTTACACGTATGTACGTGTGTGTGTGTGTGACATGTTCTTAGTCATGTTCTCATCTTGTATATTTGACCGTTCATAGTAAGGGCCATGCAAGACCTTATCCTCTGGAAAACTGGAACACACTAGTTTCCATGCTGCTGGATTGTCTGAATCACTTTGCTGCAAAGCCGATAAGTTTCATCTGGACTTGTCCATAAATTGTAGATTGTAGAAAAATTGGCCAATAGGTGTTCTTTTTCTTGATGTGCCTGTGATGGAGAGGGATCACTCCACAAAGACTCCTCCAATTCCACTGTCATAAGAATCTTCCATATGTCAGCTGCGAGATCTCACATCGGTTGGAGAGGGGAACAAAACATTCTTTATAAGAGTGTGGAAACCTCCCCCTAGCAAACGCGTTTTTAAAACTTTGAGGGGAAGCCCGGAAAAGAAAACCCCAAAGAGGACAATATTTGTTAGGGGTGGGCTTGGGTCGTTACATCAACTCTGTCATCTCTCATCTAAGCTCCTAATGGAAGACAAGAGACTGCTAACTTTGCTTTGGTATCTTTCTACGAGACAGTTAAGAATAGTATTAAAACACATTTGAAGAATAAAGGATCGAAGATCAATATTTGTTAATTCTAATTACAACACCATGTAATTGGATCTGCTTTACAAGTTAAACATTCATCCACCAATTGGTCTGCTACAACTTTAGACAGTTTGCTTCCTGAATTTTCTAGCAGCCTGGGTCAGAACCTTTTTGAAGGACCATACCAAATAATTTGATTGAAGCCCAAACAAAAGAAAAGTGGATTTGATGAGGACTATACATGAAACTGAGGGAGATGATGTGTATGTAGCAAAATGAACTAGGAGGTATTCATTGAACTTGGAAACAGAATGTCTGTAGGATATACCATACGCTCCTGACAACTTACAACCATAAAATGTAGCTTACACTGCCTGCTGAATCTCATCGGAAGATTTGCTCTAAGATAAGCTTTTTGGAGCCCTAATTTTGGAGTTTTCTCCTACATACTTTTTTTGCAATAATGGATGTGATAAGAGCAAAGAAAAGCTTCTTGCAGGTTCTAATAAGCGGGTAACTAAGATCTACATGTCGGGAAGAAGTTAACATGGAAATATTTAGAAGTTTTAACTTTCAATGGCATACCTTCAATGGACATATATATATATATATATATATATATATATATATTCATATATATTTCCTTTCAATTTCCTTGTATGGAGGAACAGAAGGGAATCTCTGGGGAGTTATCAGTCCTCATTTTGCTTCATCTTCTAACGTGTGGTTAAGATTCTCTTCCATTATCGGACCGTCTATTTCTTTTATAAATTATTGCACCAACTTTTGCACAAATTCAATTTTATACTGCTTATATTTATTGTAGACCCAGTAAATTATAATTTTATGCGTGTGATTGATTTCTGGCTTCCTCTTTTTCGGGCTTGATGGGGTTGAAAGACATAGCTTTTTTCTGTGTTCTTTGAGAAGGAAACCATATTTCATTGATATTGACTGTAGTTGCATTGGTATTAGAGTTCTCTTGTGCCTGTAAAATGGAAACTTTCTCAAAATTTGAAGTTCTAAACCAAAGTAGTTTTGTATAGGCTCCTTTGCAGAAAAGACTTTTCTTTCGTTTTACTAATCACCCTCAATAAAATCTCATTTCTTTTCAAAAACAATAAGAAAACCATGTATAGACTTAAAATTTTTGAGTGTTGCAGCCTTTATACCTCTCTCCTGGATAGATGGAATCAATTTCCTGTTTAATAGCTTGAACTTTTAAATGTTCTAGATGCTGGAATTATAGGCTGATGCCCAACTGCTATATGAAACTTAGGAACTTCTTTCAGGTGATGATTTTACTAGTCTCATCGAAGTCGTAAAGCTGCAGTTCATTAGTTTATATGGACTGAGGTGAATTTCATCTTTAATTCTTCATAGATTATGAACTTTTAGAAGTTGTTAATCAGGTATGATTGGAAAGTTGTTAACGCTTATTATTCTCCAAGGCTGTTTAAGTTCTAAAAAGTTTGGGTAAAAAGGTCCCAAGAGTTGTATATAGTCTGGAAGATTTAGGTTCTCTGTCTCTTAATCTGATTTATATAGTGGAGGAACCATTCAAAAAGGAGGAAAGGGGTGATGCATTTTTATGATATCACTCATTTATTAGGCCCATTGCACATGGTTGGAAAAGGTTGATATCTGGGGTGGTTCCAAATGTTGTCTACAACTTTTAGCAGTGGTCATTATAGGCATTATCTTAGCTTTAGTGGAATGATTCTGAAAGGCATTCTTAAAGATTACATAACTTTTCATTATCTGTATTGTGCATTAATTATTTTTCAAACTTCCCTCACTTTCTTGGTTACATTTTTCATTGCTTTCAATGGTCATCGTTTTTATTAGTATGATTTTGATCTCTAAACTCTTATAGTTTCATAGTTGGTCTCCAAACCTTTACCCTTGTTCATTTGGATCACTAATTCCTTAAAGCTTCAATTTCATCCCTGACTTCTAGTTTGGTATCTGCAATAGAAATCTTGTTTTTATGTTCATGAATGTGTAATATAAACATAGTTTATTAACTATATGTTATATTCCATCTATTATTGCATTTAGAATTCAAGAAAAGAGAAGGGATTAATCTTGATATTTTGATAATGGAAGAACTAACATGGAAAAAGAAATAAAGTTGAGGATTCAAAAGCTGATGGAATAGAAGAATGAAAATTGTGTAAAAGTTGACCAAAATCATGAAGTAGAATATGAATGATAATAGGGTTTGCATCTTTTTGACCTCTTTTTTGACTTGGTGCTGGATGTGATGAAGGGTATTGTAGCTTGTGGAGAGGAGACAAGATTTGTCTTCTGAAGCATGTGCCCTTCAAAGTAAGAGAAGCATGCCCTCCACAGCTTGTCTGCTTTTTTCCTGCAAGATATGGCCTACTACGCCACACTACACATGTTGGAAATCTGGAAGATCACTGCCAAGGAGTTCCTCCCCTTTATTTCAGGTGCCCATCTTGTGGATTGATTATAATAATAATAACAAATACCAAAGTTTTTAGTACGTTTTGAAATATGTTTAGAAACTGCTTAGTTGCATATCGACGAGTAGGTATCGTCTCGTTGAAATATATGGGGTGGATAGATAGGTTCATTAACTAATATATACACGAAATGTCGATATATTGATAATAATAATAATAACGAATACCAAGTTTTTAGTTCGCTTTGAAAAATGTTTAGAAACTGTTTAGTTGCATATCGACGAGTAGTTATCGTCTCGTTAAAATATACGGGGCGGATATATGGATGAAATCTCGATATATTGATAATAATATATGTGGTTAATAATAATAACAAATATCAAGTTCTTAGTTCGTTTTGAAATATGTTTAGAATCTGCTTTGTTGCATATCGACGAGTCGGTATCGTCTTGTTAAAATATATGAGGTGGATAGACAGGTTCGTTAACTAATATGTGGACCAAATGTCGATATATTGTTAATGATATATGGGGTTGATAATAAGTTCGTTAAAAGTATTTTGAATGTCGATAGACGGATAGATGGTTCATTAACCAAGATTATTTCGAATGTGACCAAATGAATTGATCTCTTCCATTAAACAAAAGCTGTACAAGATTGCAAAGTTCAATTAGATGCCACAAAGATCTCTCTATTTCAACCATTTCCCTCAATTCTCACCCCAATTTTCTTGTGGGTAAGCAAGAATTATTTGAACTTAAATTTGAGGACTGCTTTATCAGAGGTTGGGAGGTTTTGCCCCATTCTTCTGGAGGACTCTTCACCTCCATCAATAATGCTACCACTTCCTTCATTGTTGGCCTTTCTGCTGGAGAGGAGTTAACACAAAACATGGCTATACCAAGTGTTTGAAGCATTTCTTGAACCATCTGATCTGGTAAGCCTTGGAGCTTTGCGTCGAGTATCGATATAGCAGGCTCGAAGCTTGCCATCTTCTTCTTCACCCATTCAACAATGTGAAGACCGTCTCCAACTCGTGCCTCAACTGCGCTACGGCCACTTAGTATCTCTAGTAGAACAACTCCATAGCTATAGACATCACTCTTCTCGGTTATATTCATGGTATATCCGTATTCTGCATTGGTTTGGGAAAATTTTAGAAACAAATTCAACCGTAAAGATAGTTGAGCGACAAATAGAAAAGGAAATCTACCTGGGGCTATATAACCGTAAGAACCTGCTACTCTCGAAATTGCGTGGTGATAATTTGGAGCATTCATCAACTTTGCTAGGCCGAAATCTGCTAGATAAGCTTCAAACTTGGAGTCTAGAAGTATGTTATTGCACTTGACATCTCTGTGAAGAATTGCAGGCACACAATCATGATGAAGATAAGCTAGACCCTGTGCTGTCCCAACTGCAATTTTATACCTAGTTTCCCAGTCCAAATTCCTGTTTCCTTGCAAGAGTTGTTGTAGATTACCATTGGAAATGTAGTTGTAGAGAAGTAGCTTGACGCTTCTATTAGAGCAATAACCAATGAGCTTCACTATGTTTCGATGTCGAATATGCCCGAGAATTTGAATCTCCGCTGCACACGAGTCAACTGCTTCTTCATCCTGCTTCGTTTTCCATAGTTTCTTCACTGCAACTAATTCACCATTTGGCATATCTGCTTTATAAACAACCCCAGAACAACCTTTTCCAATTATGTTTTCGTACTTCATGGATTCCAAGATGTTATCTATGGTAAAATTGAGCTTCTGAAATGGGATGAAGGTCCATGGATAAGAGAAATCCTCGGCAGCCGATGCAGGGGACGACGTCCTGGAATGTTTCTCTGCCATGTACTTGCGATTTCGTGAAACTACTATCCACAATGCAAAAATTAGGATGAGAACTGCAGCAAGAATGATGGTAATCAAAGCAGCAGCTTTTACAGACTTTAAGCCAGTTCTTCGCATCGAACTCGAAGAACAAGTAAATCCATTGAGTGATTTACAAAGATTCACATTCTGATCATAAGCATCTCGTGGTAGCGTTTTAAAAAATGGCGTTACAGGCATAGGACCTGAGAAATTGTTGTGGGAGATATTGAGAGAAGTGAGACTAGTCAAGAGACCCAACACTTTAACGTTTCCAGAAAGCATGTTATTGGAAAGATCAAGTGATTGTAACTGTGTCAAACTGGACATCGCCTCGGGAATTTCTCCGGTAAGCCCATTCGAGCTCAAGTCCAAACTGATCGACAAGCTCTTCATGTAACCAATTTCTGGTGGTATGGTACCAGAGAGACTGTTGTAACTCAAATCAAGTAGAGTTAGTTTCTCCAGGTTCTTGATGGACTTCGGAATTGACCCTGTCAGTAGATTATTGTTGAGAATAAGTTTATTCAAATAACTGAAGTTTCCAAAGCTCTCAGGAATTTCACCGGTGAAGCTGTTTCGACTGAGATCGAGCTGCTCCAAGTTCACCAACTCCCCAAGCTGGGGAGGAATTTCACCAGTTATATAGTTATTATGCACATCAAGTAGCTCAAGAACTGTAATATTAGCAATCTCAGGCGGAAGGCCACCCGAAAAATGATTCATATACAAGTCGAGAAAGACGAGATTTTGCAACCGTCCTACCTCCTTCGGAATCTGGCCTGAAAGCTGGTTTTCTCCAAGCCTCAACCTCACTAATGATTGACAATTTGCGACGCTTTGAGGCAACCCGCCAGATAAAGAATTTCCGAGGAGCAAAAGCTTGCTCAGCTTCTTCAAGCTGAAAATTTCTTCTGGGATTACCCCAGTGAGCTTGTTTCTTGAAAGATCAAAGGCATATAACTCAGTGCAGTTGCCAAAGGAAGATGGTATGGATCCTGACACAGAATTCCCCCATAAGAAAAAGCTTTGCAGGGATCTCAAATTGCCAAGTTCTGGTGGAATTACACCTGATAGTTGATTATTATCAAGCTGAAGGGCAGTCAAGCTTGTGCAGTTGCCTAGCTGCCACGGTATCGCACCCGAGATCGAATTGTCCGATACATGAAACTGTTCAAGAACAACCAACTTCCCTAAATCACTTGGGATTTCACCAGAAAGATCATTCTCCGACGCATCAAAAACAACTAGAGCCGAACAATTTGAAATTTCCGACGGTATCGACCCAGATAGAGCATTGCCCCAGAGAAACAAACTAGTAAGCTTCTGCAACCTACCCAGCTGAGGAGGAATATAACCATTGAGCTTGTTCATATGCAAATACAAATCCCTTAGCTCAGAACAAAGCCCCAACTCAGGAGGTATTGAACCAGATATCTCAGTATCATAGAGTGACAAAGTTTGGAGGTTGATTAAGTTCCCAAATGTAGACGGTATAGCCCCCGAAAGCGCCGTAGCCGCTGCCCCGAATGTAGTGAGATTAGTAAGCAGCCCCATCTGTGACGGAATCTCTCCAGAAAGAAACGGATTCCCTCCGATTCGAAACTCTTGAAGAGACAGCAAAGAACCAAATTGTGATGGTATAGAGCCATTAAACAAATTGTCTTGGAGGCAAAGAATTTGCAGAGAAGCCAGATTAGCAAGCTGCGGAGGAATCTTACCAGAAAGTCTATTGAAATTCAGGAAAAGGAATTGAAGTGAAGAAAGAGAACCAAGCTGAGGAGGAATTGGACCATAGAGATCGTTGGATGAAAGGTCCAACAGGCGAAGATGAGTGAGTAGGCCAAAAGAGGAGGGGATTGAGCCAGATACATTGGTGGAAGAGAGATTAAGAAGTTGCAGAGAAGATAAAGAAGACAACTCAGGAGGCAAAACAGAGAGGTTTAAGAACGTTTTAGGAAGAGATAATGAAATGACTCTGTTCTGAGGAGAACAAGTGATTCCTTCCCAAGAACAAGGGTTTTGGCTAGATGGATTCCAAGAGGCAAGAACAGAAGGACCAGCAGCAGATATGAGAGAGAGAAGCGCTTCTCCATCGGGAGATAGAGAAGCAACTAATGAACTCTCCATTGTTAAGGTTAAGCACATAGCCATGAAGTACAATAGATACCGTTTAAGAAATCCATTGATTGCTCCCTCCATTAGAGCTCTGGAAAAAATGATTTGACCTCCAAAACGAATAAAATTAACTATGGCCGTCGTCTCGGTGGTTGCTTTGCTTTGCTTCAATGGCGGATAAAAGATTTTCACTCACTCTCAGTGACAAAATCCATGTGAAAGAGGTCTCAATGGTGGAATCAAATAGAACGAATGCTTAAATCAGACTCAATACAGCATGTGAACGGGAAATATATATTATTCGAGGAAAAAACTTCCTCAAATCAATCAAAAGCAATTAATGATCATCATCCAAGCCTCTGTAACTCACCATGAAACCTACCCCTCCGAAGCCGGAATTGGAGATATCGCCGGCGTCCACCGCTTCAGTTCCGAGCCGATACAACCGGAGCTGGAAAGTCCTCAACCATGGAAGCCATGGCAAGTGGTTGAAAGTAGAGAGTGTTTTTGCCGGAGCTTGGTCGAACTGCTTCAATGGCGTTTATGGGATGGGGGAAAAATGTGAGTGAGAGAGAAAGAGGAAGAGGGGGGCAGTGTGCAAGTGCATGCTATATTATCGAGACGTGGGATTCGAACTTCTTTCTCTATTTATTGTTTTTAAATTGAAAACAATCATGACTTTATTTTGCTGCAGCCATCAGCTTATTTGGGCACTATTTGTATTTTTTCAAGGGTATTTACGTCTTTTCCTAACATTTATAGAGTCTATTTTAGGCCATAGGTACACCCGTCACTAATGAGCTTTGGAAAATATTGGCTTCAACCGGACGTCGAAGTCAATAGAGAGAGTATTCTTTAATTATAAACTCATGATCATTCTCTAAATTAGCCCGACATAGGACTTTCACCCAACACACCTAACTATAATCTTGACAACACAACTGCCCTATTGGTATCTTCTCGTCCCTTTATAAATTGAACTCTACTTTTAGAAGAACAAAAGTCAAACATAAATTTTGTCGTATTCAAAAACTTTAAAATTGAACCGGCTAACATATAAACTATCAGGGCTCCTTAATAATTCAAACGATCGTAGAAGGTTATGAGTCGGGCTTAGAAGGAGAAATCAAACGCATATTAAAAGCGTTTAAATTTGTCTTTTCAAGTGTACACTGCAACAAAAGTAAATAAAACTAAATCGATACAACTGAAACCATTAATAACACCCAAAATAACAAAAGAAAATTAAGTTAAGTACGTCAGACACAAGAATATAAATGACGAATATAACCTTCCCATCGAGATACTTCCAAACCTTTAAATAACTTGGTGAGAAAGTAAAATCAGTTATGGTTCATAAACGGTCGAATCATAAACTTTATTATTAACGTCATTCATAAACTTTATCATTAACGTCATTAACTCAATAAAGACTAAGATATATCGATCGAACAAACTTTACCATATTTGATCGAACGTAATAAAAATAGTATGACATAGGGGTAAAATGGGAATTTAATCCAGCGTAGGGCAGGCGGAAGGAGAGTCAAATATTTCAGGGCCATGTCCAAGCCTATTGCCTTGGAAAGATGATTATAAAAATAATAAAAAAAAAAAAAAAAAACCCACCAAGCCTGTAAGGGCACTTCGTACATTGTGAAGACTTTTAGGGTAGTGGCTTTTACGTAATTTAACGTATTGCCCATGTTCAGGTAGGGGCTTTTCCGTAATTTAATCTATTTATAACAAATCCCCCAGACGTGGCCTTAGCCCTTTGGATTATATTATTATATTTGAAGGGTAGGCGTCAAAAGGGAAACAAGCTCAGTTCCAAGGGCATAATCGATATTTCGTAGACAAGGTAATTTAATTTTCCCCCTTTTTTTTTTACTGCGTCATTAATTACCTTCATCCGTGAAAATATGAGGATGAGGTCCAGGTTAGTTTGGTTACCGAGGTAAACGTGGTGGGTTTGTTTTGGGAAGGGAGGAAAAAAATAAACAATAAATAATTATAATAATTATTTTATTTTTTAGGGCACAGTGAACGATTAGGGCGTGTTGGGGCTTTTGCTTTTATTGTTTTGTTATGTTTACTTTTAGCCGCAAGGCAGTTTTGGAGCGAAAATTTGAAAATAATATTTAGAAAGACGATTTTACCCCCTATGAGTTTTGATTTCCAGGGGTAATTTTGGGATTTCGCTTGTGTGTGCGGCGGTGATTAATTGGGTGCAGTGCTCCATATAGGTGGGTGAAAAAAAGTGTAGTCTTTTATATATATATATATATATTTAAGAAACAAATAAAATAAGTACTAATTTAAATGTACTTTATTTTATTTGTGTTATTTTTCCCATAAATATTTACAAGCCCAATGACTCCTCATCATCTTTTTTTTTTTTTTTTAATTTAAAAAAACAATTAAGACTAAATTAAAAATATTTTTTTTTAAACTCGAGTGAAAATTAGTTTTTAAATAATAAGTCATCCTCTTATTTAATCCCGAATCTCTCTTAAATCTTTTGATTTTATTTCTTTGTTTAGAGGCTCAAGAAATTTCTAAAGGTTCGGGATTGAATTATAAAAAGTTAAAAGGGTAATATTATAAATTTGAAATAATAAAACTATTTTTAAAAATATAAGTAATTTTATAACTTAATATTAAATTAAAAAATGGTTGACCTCATGTACACATATTGGATTAAAAATGACTAAATATTGAATTATGTTGGATCTTGAATAATTTAATTTGGTACTTAAACTGTATAAAGTAAAAAATTTCATTTGTTGTTAAAGTTCGTGGTATATTTTATAGACATCTTATGTAGTATCATACAAAATTTGTATTTTAAATGTTTTATTAATTTTTTATTTTGTATCTACTAAATTTTTTAATTTCAAAAAAATCATAAATTTCTATTTGACATTTTTTTAAAATTTTAAAAAATTAGAAGTTTAATACATTATTGGACACAAACTTCAATTCTATGTCGTATATATAAAATTTAAAAATTAAGAGAATAATTGAAAGACAAATTAAATAATTTCAAAAGTAAAAATAAAAAAATAAAAAAATAAAGAAAACAACAAAGAAAAATTCACCATGTAGAAACCTCAATAAAGAAGAGCTGAACAAGACTTGATGTTCAAAATTTGATCTTTAAAACTTCCCTTTCCCTGGATTTTCTCTCCTTAAAACTCAAGGACACCGATCCCGATCCTGTTCAAGTAACGTCGTTTCTCATTCCCTGGATTATATATCGTTCCACAAAATCAAACAGGAACGGCCAACGACAAATGATATCGAAAACTTATTCGTCGAACTAAGGAAACTCTTGCCATGAAGGGTTGGTTGGTTAGGAAGCATGAAAGAGAGATCATATAAACAACTACCTTTCGAATTTAAACCACTTCCAGTTCGCATACATACTCGATTCTTTATCGAATGGAAGATCTGTAGTTGGAGCACATTCGGACCTTGGAACGGGAGCAGGTAACGGCCTGGCTACGCCTTTGATCACGGGTAGCTTTTGTCTATACTTCTTAGCCATGATCTTGGCCTCTGAAAATACTTTCTGATAAAGGAAAAGAAAAAACGACTCGGTCAATTTTTGAAGAAAATGAAGTTCATCGGCGAGGAGGATCGATGTGTGCTACCTCTTTGTTCGATATAAAGAGTCCGGGCACGCTTTCGAGGTCAGCTATACTGTAAAACCATAAAGGCAAAATTTTAAGTTATAAGATGCATCAATCATAAGACTGTTAGATTGAATAATAATATGTTTCTGAATTACCTTAAAGATATCTTGTTAGGAAAATTTGACTTCACGACTAGAACTTTGACCTTTTCGCCCACTACAAGTAAGTCACTCACCGAGGTAACTCGGGCACGGGTGATGTTTGAAACATGGAGTAAACCGCTGAGGAACATTCAGATGGATGTATCAATAATTCTCAGAAACTAAAGAACGATAAGAACAACAGAATATGGTATGCCCGGTCAAAACATAACGCTAAATTTTTAATTTCATCAAACTGAACTCGGGAGAAAGTTGCAGGCTAAGTAAATTGAAACTCACCATCTGTTCGTATCGCCAATTCTAATTTGAGCTCCAAAAGGAAATATTTTCGTCACGGTCCCGTCTAGAAGCGTTCCCTCTCGTAGGTACAACATTTCCTGAGATAAAAGACACAAAATCGCCTATTTATTGGTGTACTCATGCAATACCTTGAGGAGAAAATAGAAAAATGTAGTGGTGAAACTGACCCAAGCTCGTCTCTCACTTAGTATCACATCGTTCTTAGCTTCAACTATTCGAGTGATTTGCACAAAGATCCGACATCCCACCTGCACGATAGGAGACAAGTACAGTGAGTTAAGGTCGTCTATACAGTCCTTTTGTCCAATTATGTCAAGCAAATGTTGCAGCAAGCAAAGAGTGTTTAGTAAGATAGCTATTGCAAAGAGCTCGGTTCAAGGCACAGAGGAATCTAATGCGAAAGGCGCACCAGTTCGAAGGGATTTGAGTAATCATGAATAAGAACATGATACAACAACATTTTCATGAAAGAAAGAAACAAATCAATGTTTATAGGACATGGTAACTTCGTAGTCTCGGGGCAACAATGATTTTCAATGGAACGGGGAGAGGCCATTTACATGACAGGTGAACCGAACGCTTTTCTAAGATAACGCATATAGCAGCTGAAAAATCAAAGAAACCGAAGCCTACTCACATATTCTTTCCACTCCGTGAAGTTATTTGCTCTATTCAACAACTCGCCCTTCGGAAGAAATGCTCGCAAACCCTGCATAACAAAAGTTCAGAACCGAACCGAAACAAAACATAAGCATAGACAAACGAAACAGAAGTCCAAGACCAAATGAATTACTATCACATAAACAACCTCAATTCTTGTAAGAAGGCCTCCTGTATTCCACTCTGATACTCTAACTTCAATTGGCTCGTTGAGTCGTTTTATCTGTCGAACAAGGAAACCACAACAAATACATACATTTCTTCTTTGTGCCCCCTAAGACGGAAACTTCAGTAAGCAGAGAAGCTTGTCAAGAAAAGAACCTGCCTCACTCGATGCCAAGCTAACCACCGAAACAATCTTCTAGTCGTTAGCAATGGTCGACCACCGAGTCTCCTTCCCAAAACCTCTGCAAACAAAACCGTGCCAGTCTCTACGATAGGTTGCCCCGGCCCTGGTCCATCGCAAACAGCATTATCATATTTCACCAATCCCATCTTCCCATTCACCATAAAAGACTCGGCATCCTTGTTGAGATCCAAGAATTCCATCTCTTTGTCATACAAACGAAGCACTTCTTTTGTCAACATTGTTGCTAATAAATCCGCCCCCATATCGATATCAAGCTTGTTTTCGTCACCTGAGACAACTACACCAACCACGACATCTCCAGGTTTGGGCTCATAGTACTCAACATTTAATTTATTGGCTTCTTTATCAGATTCATCCTCTCCATCAATTTTCTCTTCAAATGCTTGTAATGCTTTTTCCTCTTCTTCATCTTCCACAGAATCTATAATCTTAAAGAACTTCATAAATAGCGTCAAGCTCTCATTCTCATCGGGATTTACAACCTCTTTATGAACTTC